AATAATAATAACAATAATAATAATAACAATAATAATAATATTAACAATAATAATAATAACAACAATAATAATAATAATAACAGGAAGTTTCTACCTGCTTTTTTAACAACAAATTCCATTTACCACAACAAATATTAATTTTAAAACGCTAAAAAATAGATCAGGTTAAAGTTCACAACTTTTCCTAACATAAATACCACGATAGAAGTAACTTTAAAAGCAGTTTCATAAATTTAGACCACTCGTAACTTAGTGAGCATCTATTGTTACAACAAACAATCAATTCTCAAAAAAATTTGTTTAATAAAATTACCAACAGTTATCTGCTTATGACCACATTTTCTAGTGCACTATCTGCTTGAAGCACTGCTAAACTTTACTGAAGAGGCGAAAAAAACGTAGATCAATCTGATCTCTTCCGTCGTCTCTTGACCTAAAAAATTGTGACATAGCATTACACTAATGTTACTAAACGTATATGTAGAAAAGATTCATTCTTACAGATAAATTTGGTTAGTGCTGGTAAACAAAAGAAAAATTGTCTAAGAAATGATATTTCTTACTGGTAGTCTTGCAGACGCATTATTCTATAAATATGTTTTAGGTCGAGGGTAAAATGCTGGTTTATCAAGGATTCACACTTTTGTGTATTTTTGCAGCCGTACTAGCGCTTCCTCGGAAGGATTTATCTTGTGAGTTTTTAAGAAGACACTGTTTACCAAAACGTATTAATTTTGTATCGGTAAATAATAGTTTCTGTTCTTTGCTTTTATATGTTTTTAACGCATTTTGAGCAAGAGAGCGCTTCTAGTGAGAGGAATTTTTTTTAACTTAAATCCTCTCCGAGCAAAAGAAGTTTTTAACAATCCTGTAAGCTTGCAACATATTCAGTTGACTCCAATTAAAATTTTATTAAATTTCACAAACTGTGACAACATTTGGATCATGACTTCTTGAAGAATCCTGGCTAGTAAATAAGCCAGATAATTATGATGCTAATCTAGACAGCACATTTCGCGGCGGCAACAGCCTAGAAGATGATTATACTTCGGAAGAAGCAGTTACAAAACCACTACCAGGAAAACCGACGTCAAACGTTTCATCTACAACGGCTGATTCGGTCAGTTCCCTAGAAGATGACGACGGACCACTTGTTTGCGACACGAACTCAGTCTGTTTCAGCGATTCAGACTGTTTTGGAGGTGCATGAATTTCTGTATGCTGTTTAATTTTAAAAGGAAATTTAATGTATGATTCGTCGATTTATATCAATTTTAGCTCGGCGATATAGTCCAGTCTTTATTTGCAGGAAAATGCGTCGGTTTGGGTGTGAATAGATGTGCTTGTCTATCATGTGTTTCGGGATCAATATGTTCTGCTACATACGGTTGCGGCGGGCTGAAAGATGCATGTAATTTAGCAACGAGTGTATGTGACTGTGAAAAAGGTAAAATGGTTACGGATGCCACGTTCTTTTGTACTCTCACGCCTCCTGACAAGTTATTTTAGCGTTCAAAAGATATGGCTATAAGTCATATGGGGATGCGTTGAACGACCTGTGCAATATTCGTTATTGTGTACCAGATACAGACTCCTGTTTTGGCATGCCGTGCAACCCAGGGACATGTGTATGTGACTCATAAAAAACTCGACGACTCTTTATTGACGGTTGCGAGAGACCGTATTTCTTCAATATTGACCGCTTTGTAGCATGTCTTTGTAATATCCAGCGTGTAATTGATAATTTTTTTTGCGTTTAGGTACTTAAGTGAAATAAAGTCATGAAGGGTTAGCAACTGTTTTTATCAATGGATTTCTCAGTGATTTCAAGTTTTCAACAAAAGTTGTAGGATATTTCTCGGATTTGTCGGAACATCTGGAGGTTATTTGTTCCCAAACCTTAACTAAAAGAGCCGATTTACTATAAGCAACAGAAATTATCAAACGGTCTTTGACTTAGCCAACTTTGTGCAGGAAATTATTTTAGCCGTGATTTTCTTAGGCTGTTTTTGCCTTAAATTAGTTTCTTCGCATCGTACTCGTGATAGTGTTCTTGACGTATGTTCAACGGTTCTTAAAGCGGTCGCTTTTCGATTTTTGACTTTGAAGTTTCATACTTTTTGGTTTTACAAGTCGTAAAAAGAAGCAAGTTTTTCAAATCAGTGGTTTTCAAGACTTTGAAGATGTTTGTTAAGATTAAATTTTAGTCATTTAAGTTCTTTATTGGTGTACGGTGTTCAAGTGCTGTCGCAGACAGTGGCTGAAGACCCTGTTTCGGTCCAAGCTTTCTTCGGAAATGTTTTTAGCGACTGGAGATGAAAGGCTTGCAAATTTCCAGGGCTGAATATAAGGATGCGGCACACAGCAAATTGAAAAAAATATCAAATTTTGTTATACTGTAGACTTTAGACCTCTTGTAAGAAATATTTTATTTATTTTAGACATGGCCAAGAATTACTGCTGGGTAGCGCTCAATCAATAGACTATACTTTTCTTGCATTGCAAAGTCATCTGTGTTTGTCAAAACAACATATGTAATTGAGCGTTAATTTCTCTAGAGCTGCGTTTGACGGGGTTAACTGAGTTGTGAGGGGCATTGCTGAGGATGTATTGAAGATGCGTTTTTGACCTATAGGAATAGTCCAATACTAGTTGTTTCTTGACAGTAGGTTTTACACTTATTAATAAGTGCTCTTCATGTGGGTTCCTGTAAATATGTGATGTTGAAGTAGTCTCTGGATTTCTTCAGTGTTTCAAAAAGCTCCTTAACTGACATTGGCTTTAATAAAATGAGCAATAAATTTTTGCTAATCTTCAGTAATATCGAACAGTGAGGTCACTTATGTATTTCAAACTGGGGAGGAACGAATATCGGCTACGAAAAACAAAGAAAGAAGAAAAAAAAGAAAAAGATGTGAAGCTATTTTCTCTTCCATTTCCCCATCTACAGAAATACGCTAAGTATTCAGGAATTTCTGTAGATCGTCTTGAAGTACGTTAAAAATTGCAGATGCTTTTGAACACTCGTCATCTTCATTCTTTATTCACAATTATACCCTTGTTATACAAGCTTAGGTCTAAAGTAGTTCATTAAGCAATTTGATAAGGTTTTCGTTTCTGTTTTTTATGTTCCACATAAAATGTTTTAGCATCTGAGGTCGCTAAATCGTTGAAATATAGTTTTACTAGGACTAAAAAGTTATTAGATTACATTTGTCCTACACAATTTTAGTCTATTAAGCTGGTTAAGTGTTCTAAAATTTACTTTAGGTAAGCCATCTATACATAAAATTTAGTTCTATTCGTTCTCATACTTTTACTACTATTTAGTGTTTTAGACCAACTTCAAGGTGGTCGGTACAAGAAGAACGTTTAAAATGCTATTAAATGACGGCGAGTTGTATATTAACCCTCACTACTTTGCCACAATGTCTGAGAAGTTTGCGGAAAGTTTCAAGGCTCAGGTAAAATGATCAAATAAGGGTTTAGAGAATATTGATTAATTCTTATTTGGTTCTTCTTAAAAAAAGCACCTGTGCAATTATTAAATTTAAGATAAGATGCTATATTCAGCCATTATTTTCACAGCTCGTGAATTTTGAATTTTCTGAATGAAATTTGAAAAAAAGAAAAATTTTGCTTCTACCTACTGTAAACTTGTGACTTTCCTAAATTTCCTTTTGGTTTTAGGGATGCAATACGGAGGGAGAAATCTCGTATAAATCGTTTTCTACAGATGATATGCTTTTGGTACTCAAAGCAGTTTGTCCAACAAAACTTGGACTCTATCCTGTGCCTTTAACAAGTATACACCTTAATTTGAATTAGTGTTCATCTGCTTTTGGCATGGATTCTAAAGTCATAAAGAATTGTGCATTTATAGATGTTTCATTAATTACTCTTATTAATTAATTTTTTATTTTTTTTATTAATTATTTTTATTAACTATTAATTACCACAAGAGGCTGTTTAATAATTGCTTATCTTTCAGTTTACGATCTTGAAATTGCTTTACCTATTGTACATACTCTTAGAATGCCTGGTTTGTTAAAGTATTGCGAGGAAGTAAGTAGTTTTACAAAATTTACCTGTTCTCGGAAAAGTACTGAACTGTCTGTTTAGCTAACTGGAAACCGGACTATTCTAAGTACTCAAGTAAGCAATTTCAGCTTATTGAGAACGACTTCAAGCTTCTTCGGCGATCTGAAGCAATTTTGCGGTCTTTTGATTACGCGTTTCGATTCGAACTAAGCCTTAAGGTGCAGTCTAAGCTGCTTCATCAACTCCTATATGGAGATTATGATTATTTAAATTTTATTACATTTGACTCTATCGACAGAGTTTTGTCTGGTGAGACCGGAAATTTGCTCATCGTAGCAGCTGCAATGTACGTTTGATTACGGTTTTTAAGCTTCAAAAGCATATTTTAGCAAATCGACAGAACGGGTAAGCTTCACAAGTTTAGGAAACTTCGAGGAACATTTTGTGAAGAAAATTCTTATGAAACTGTCTCGCTGTCGAAACTTGAAGACTTTCTACGCAAGTATTCAGTGTCTTGGTTCCGTCAACAAAAGAACTTCTGAAATATTAGACGTTTTTTTTGTCGCTCTGGTGATTACACTTAGTTTCCTTTTTGAAACTGTAGTGACAATAGAGCAAAGACCAATGCTAAAAGATGCTTTGCAGTACTAACAAACAAATGAAGTGTTTATAATCTTTGTAATGTTTGGTCAACAAGACATAAATTAATAAGAAATATTTTACTAAATTTTTTTTAATTTTTTGAAATTGCTGAAGCGTGTATTTCTTATTCACCTTTCTCAGTCATACCGCTGAGTAATTTTATTATGGCTGATTTTTAATAACTTTGTTACTGTAATTTGCTGGTTTAAATATTTGTTTATCTGTTAGGTTATCTCTCTTCCTATAGCCGTCCCATATTGATTCGTTCTTCAAATTTATTTACTTATTTTTGCATCTATCTGTTGTAGTCTATCATTGCGCCGAACTGATTCTTTCGGAAATTCTGTTCTGCTGACTTTCCTCCCTCATTACTCTTAGTGCCGGGCTTTGTCAGTTTTGCGCAGCTGAATGTAATCAGTTTATTCTAAATGGAAGTGTTTGTAATGCATTCATAGTAATATCGCGATAAGTTTAAAATAATTTGTTGTCGTGTTGTGATTTATAGATTTATTGTTATGCTTATAAAACAAAGGGATGAATTGCTCTCAGGATCTGCTAAATAGGCTGTGTTTCATAGAAACGTGACTCGACCGCAACTTCTTGCACTGTGGTTACACGCATGCGTTTCAGAAGGGAATGCTGCCAGCAGTGACGTACTCAAGAAGCTTGTAATGGGGAAAAGCTATTAAAACATTTGTAATTTTTCGGTAAAATCAGAAAATTATATACCTGTGTAGTTGATAATGGACATCAAATAAAGACATAGTTAATTAATTCTGACTTTGAAGTGTTACTAAAGAGAAAAAAGCTATCTTTAGTAATTTCAAAGATGAATTTTGTAAAAGTATTTGTGAAGCAAGTTTTAATTGTCTTATTAGGTTTTGAAGGTTAGAGTTAAATAAGCTGGAGCATTTCTAGTTTAGCTGGCTAGATAATTTAAAGCGTTTGATGTGGTTTTTTTGTGGTGATGCACAGATGATTTTTTGAAGGCACGGGCCTCATTATTTAGTACATTTACCATATATTTTAGAAGATTTTGGTCTCCTTACATCAATTTACAGCGTGAAGTACAGTTAAAACTCAAAAATTCAAGTAGCTCACTTTGAAGTTCGATTTCAGTGAAATAAAAAAGAAGTAATTAATCTCAGAAACACACAACCTAACGCGCTTGTATACAGTGTGAAAATAAGAAGTGGTTGCAGTGGAGGAATTAAATTACGGAAGTGTGATGTAACGGGGGAAGAAAAAATGTTGAATATTCAAAGAACAATTTTTAATAAAAGTTTTTATTCTAGAACTACTGAAAGCAACATTTGAAGTCAAGTGTTTTTGGATAAACTTAATAGAGATACGCAAATAGACAATACACAACAAAAAATGGATAGCTCTTAATTAACAAGGTTGTTTAGAAACATAATAAGTGATCGCTTTGTTCAAAGTTAGCACGATAAGACGCAAAAAACTTGTCCAAATTTCTAAAATTGTCTAAAGTGGCACTCAACGCTGAATGTAAAAGAGATGCCCTGCTCTCACGGTGGACTGAATACCTGTAAATTTGATTTGGAGTGAGTAGTTCTCCTGCAATTTTTTCTTCCCGTCGTTTTATCAAGAGGTTATTACACTGTTTCGTCTAGTAAACTTTTCAAAAGTATGATAATCATTAGGTAATTATGGAGTTAAGCGATGTGAAAAACTCCGACGACGACACTAGGAGTCGACAGTCGAGTACGAGATGCAACCGAATACCTTATAACGTTACTTATCTTTATTTACCTTCTATTAGTTGAGCATGACAACGAGGACGTTTAAATAAGCTGGCGAGTAAAAAACTTCTTTGTTATCTATAAACTGTTCGGTTCATATAAATTAATGTTACGGGTTCATGCAAAGTGAAGAAGAAGGAACGACTGCTGGTACAAGAGGAACAATGAATGGGGCTTTTAGCATCCTGTCGCAAACAGCATAAGGAACAGTTTTAAGAAATTTTTCACTTTTTATCACCTGACTTTTCACATTTCTGCCTAGTTAAATAAAATGAGTAATCAACAGGACTTCTAGTCGATAAACGCATTGAGCGTTACTGCAGTTATACGTCCTCACCCCCAAACATACGGTTCCCATTGTTTTCGTTTATTTTTTCTCTGACGTTTCAGAACAGTGAACCTAACGCTACGCACCTTAAAAACTCAGTTATTACCCGTTACACAGTGCTATACTGCCATTTTCGCTTGGAAAGCTATCAGTATTAAAGTAACACTGTAGCACGAATCCTTTATAGCTTAGCAAGAAGTGCATAGACAAATCTGAAATTACCAAACACGAACTAAAGAGGGCCAGGAACTTCGTATTCAGAGAATAAGTGTAAGTTAACAGTAAAATAAGCGTGTTCGAGGGTAGGCATGAGTACGACAGCAATACGAATTGCCTTTTTCAAACACATCTTGCTGAATGATATTCTTATCTAAAATATATTATATCTTTTGGAGCAACTGAGTAAGGCGTGATGCTGGAAAAGTGTTATATGAAAGTTAGGAAGCAAACATTGGCAAAGTATCAAAACATTTCTCATGTAAACCGTCTCGCTGTATTGCTTGCATAACGGAGAATTGACTTGCTATCTTTTGTCCCAATGTTATTCAGTAGAGTGCCAGCCGTCTGCACATTTTCTCTCAGATTTTTAGCGTAAACGCGTATATATCCGTCCATGATTACCATTTTTAACTGCTGTCCAGTGAAGACTTTTCTATGGTGATCATAAAAAAGGGTTACCCAGTTAAAAAAATATCTTTATTATGCGTGGGTTAGACTTAGGAAGCTAACAAAGCTTGGAGGAAATAAACTACCAAATTACCCTA